AATTAGGATGTAACTAGGTGTGGGTCTCTTTGGGTTCATTCTGATTGGGATTTTCTGTTCCCCATTCCCCCACAGAACTGGTACTGCAGATGTCACTGGTACTGAACTTTTGTTACATTTTCCTTCGCCAGGTTGGGGAAGTTTTCGGTGATTATTTCCGTGTTCTTTTTGTTGTTGTTATTGTTTTAAATATATTTTATTGATTATAAAAATCAGAGAAGAAGGAAGAGGGAGATAGAAACATCAATGATGAGAGTGAACCATTGATCGGCTGCCTCCTGCAGGCCCCCTACTGGGGACCCAGATCACAACCCAGACATGTGCTGATGACCAGAATTAAAGCCAGGATCCTTCAGTCCACAGATTGATGCTCTACTCACTGAGACAAACTGGCTAGGGTTCCGTCATTATTTCTTTTCTTTTCATTTTTTTTAAATAAATATATTTTATTGATTTTTTTACAGAGAGGAAGGAAGAGGATAGAGCCAGAAACATCGATGAGAGAAAACATCAACCAGCTACCTCTTGCACACCCCCTACAGGGGTTGTGCCTACAACCAACATACATGCCTTTGACCGGAATCAAACCTGGGACCTTTCAGTCCACAGACCGATGCTCTATCCACTGAGCCAAACCAGTTTTGGCCATCATTATTTCTTTAAATAGGTTCTCTGTTCCTTGATCATCCTCATCCCCTTCTGGTTTTCCTGTAATGTGGATGTTATTACATTTCATGTTGTCCCAGAGCTCTCTTAAGCTATCTTCCTTTTTTTTTTTTTTAATGCTTTTTTCTTTTTGATGCTCTAATTGGATATTTATTTCTATCTTGTCTTCCAAATCACTGATTTGATCATCTGCTTTATCCAATCTATGTTTAATACCTTCCAGTATCTACTTGATGTCAGATATATCATTCTTCATATCTGTCTGGTTCTTTTCATGGTCTCTATTTCCCTTTTCATGCTGTTGTAATTTTCACTAGGATCCTTAAGCATATTTATAGCCATCACTTTGAATTCTATGTTTGAAAGGTTGCTTGCATCCATCTCATTTAGTTCTTTTTTATGGAGATTCATTTCTTTCTCTCATTTGAGTATTGTTTCCTTCTTTATATTTGCTTCTATGTATTAGATAGAACTCCTATGCCTCTCAGTTTTTGTGGAATGGCCTTATGTAGAAAGTGTCTTGAGGGGTTCAGTGGTATAGTCTATTTGTTTTTGTTTTGTTTTGTTTTTAATAAATTTTATTGTTTTTGTACAGAGAGGAAGGGAGAGAGATAGAGAGCTAGAAACATCGATGAGAGAGAGTCATTGATCAGCTGCCTCTTGCACACCCCCCACTGGGGATATGCCCGCAACCAAGGTACATGCCCTTGATCGGAATAGGACCCGGGTCCCCTCGGTCCCCAAGCTGACGCTCTATCCATTGAGCCAAACCGGTTTCGGCGGTATAGTCTATTTGTTATACTGAGCTGAGAGTTCTAGAAATGACCCCTGAGCTCTTCTGCTGTAATTGGGATTTGATTGTTGATATCCAATTTGGGGGAGGAATCTCCCCACTGACTTGCTGCCAGTGAAGTTCAATCCCAATGTTGTGCCACTGTTATTCAGGTGCTTTGGTCCACTATTTTTTTTTCTTTTCTTTTTTTTTTCTCTGATGTCGCTGAATCAAGTCCTTTGTTGTGTCTGTTCTGGGCATCCTGTGACCTTACCTAGTGCATGTGAATATGGGTCACTGTCCCTTTCTGGGCCTGGGCAATCTAATTGAGATTTGAGAGGTTGAATTCCCCAGTAGTTCAGTGGTTGGGGATACCTTAGCCCAGTGACTGGGTCTGCCTTTAGTCTCTCACCTTGATTGTCCCTGTTCTGAGCTGTACTCCCTTCCCTTACAGAACTGGTACTGCAGATGTCACCTGCAGGCACTTAGGGTCCCGCTGACTTTTGCCTCGCTAAGCAGTCTATGATGGTGTCTATAGTGTCTATAGCAACTATAAACTGTTGCTTCTGCCTAACTAGATTACACAAAGACTCAAAGCCTCCAGCCTCTGTGTGCAGAATGATTGGATTCAGTCTGGAGTAGCCTCCAGGCAATCATCCACAGGTGGAGTGAGAGGTTTTCTAACAGGATGGGGCAATTGCTTCTGCCTGGAGGCTAATTGTTATTCCCAATCTCTTAATGCATGGGCCTCAGAAACTCTACAGTAGGGGTGTCGAACTCAATCAGAGAAGGGGCCAAAATCTAAAATCCAGCCTAAATCGCGGGCCGAATGGTTTATTGAACAGTCATAAACTGTCATTGTGATGGAAACGCAGTGGAGTGCAGTGATGACAGTGCGGTGCGGGCCACATTGCAAGGCCTGGTGGGACGGATTTGGCCCGCGGGCCTTGTGTTTGACACATGTGCTCTACAGGATAGGGCAAGGAATTTTCCAATAGTGTGGGTCAACTGTCTCCCCTCCTCGCCCCACCCCAGTAAAAAATCACCTGGATAGCAAAAGTTTGCCTGAGAAAGATGACCTCCACATTATGAGGGAATGACTCAGCACAGGAAACTGGGGTGCCTACTTCCCGAGCTCTAACCCTAGAGTACCCAACCCTGGCTTATATTTATACAGCTCCAGTCCACTCTGCCCTACCTCTACCAGAATCCATGTTGAGTGGCTGCATTCTAAATATTGTGTTGGCCCTTTAAGAGGAAGCCTGCATCTCCAGGTGTCTCTCCCCGGCAGACAGCAACCCTGCTGTTCTTCACAGCCAGATGTTATGTGGGCATATTTCTCAGTTCTAGTGCTCTCTGCTGGGGGGCTTAGCTTGGGGATTAGACTGAAGAGTTTTCACTGGCAGCCCACCACAGCTAAGATATCTCTCCAGAACTGGCCAGATATCTCTGTGGGAACCAGCCAGCCCTTTCACACCTCCACCATTCCTGCCAGTCACTGTGTTGTCTCCACTTTCTGTCCTTGATTATCATAGTTCTCTCCAGCTAGTCTACAGTTGACTATTCAGGGTGTTTTTGTTTTTGTTTTTGTATTTTAGTTGTAATTCCAGTTTGGTCCTGGGAGCATGTTTGTCAAACAGTTTATTATTATTTTTTCTTGTTTGTTTGAGGTAGGCCTATAGTGCTATGAACTTCATTATCAGGACTGCTTTTGTTGTGTCCCGGAGATTTTACTTGAGCTGTGTTTTGTTTTGTTTTTTAATCCTTAAGGTGAAGGTAAAGGTTAAGAGTTGAGAGAACCCAGGGTAAAGATTAAGGTTAAGATCATAGGACAAGAGAGAAAAAAATAGCTGGCTGGTTTTTAATGTTGGTTTTTCAACTGGAATTGCTTTCTGAGAGTCTGAAAAAAATGTTTTTGCTGAATTAATAAGAGCCTGAACTCTTTCATTTCCAAAGATAAGAGACATTTCCTCCCTCCAGCTTGATTTTTGGGTATTCTTACCTTACTAAGAATCTTTCGGGAGGTGTCAGGGGGTATCCCTCATGACACCCAAGGGCCCCATAGAGAATTCCAACTCAACTATAATTTAAAAATTGACTTATTCAAGGCCACACACATAAAGGGTGGTTACCTTAAAATGGTTGAGATGACTTAGGAGGTGACATTCCTATGGACCTCAACTCATAACCAGCACACCTCAATCCACTACATAATAGTCCTAGAAATTTTATTCAGGCTCTGCAGATCCAAAAATAAAATTAATATGGGAAATCATACCTACAAGGGTAGAAACTCACAGTTCCCAACCCCCATTAATATTCCTGCTGATATACAATAAATAGGAAGCCTTTGCTGGCAAGTACTTACAGAAATGGAAAGATTTAACTATCAATAGAAGTGATATCAACTTAAGAGGGCCAAAATAAAACTCTTTTAATGTTTACATTATTATTTTTGCATTAAAAATTAGAAAATATAGCCCCCTCCCCAACCTTCCAAAACCCCTCTCCCTGCTTGTCCAGTCACCAATTGGCACCCTCCCATTGGGTGTAAGGTTGGCTGGCCAACTGCCCATGACCCTTCCCCCAGATGGCCCCACCCCCAATTGCCCCCTCTACTCTGATAGGGGGTGGGGCTAGCTGGTCCCCCACTGGCTCAACTTGGCAAGATCCCACTATGCAGGAATTGATGCAGTAGGCCTTTAGTGTAGTTATAAAAAAGGAGGAGGTATAAAAAAGAAGGATGTCTAACTTTTTGATGAAGCATTGGACAGACCTGGAAAGTATTATGCTAAGTGAAATAAGCCAGTCAGGGAAAGACATGTATCACTTGATCTCTCTCATATGTGGAATCTAATGAAAAAAATAAGCTGATGAACAAAATAGGTCCAGAGGCATGGAAACATGGTATAGGCTGGTGGATCGCAGAAAGAAGGGGTGTGTGTGTGTGTGTGTGTGTGTGTGTGTATGTGTGTGTGTGCGCACGCATGCGTGCGCGGGGGGGAGAAGGGGGAGATTAACCAAAGAACTTACATGCATATATGCATAACCCATGTATACAGAAAACAGGGTGGTGAAGGCCTGGTGGGGCAGAAACAGGTGGAATAGGGCAATGGGGGGAAATGGGGAACATCTGTAGTACTCTCAACAATAAAGTAAAAGAAAAAATAAGGTAATATTAGCTGTGTACTCCATATTTTCACAATTGCTTTGACAGCTCAATTTTTCTGAGAGCTTAATTTTCTTATAAAAGTAGCCTCAGCTTTTTATATTACAAAGATAATGATAGTCTTCTCACTGAAGGCTCTCTGATTCTCTGATCCACACACAGACTCCTTAACACCAATTACCACCAGGTCCTGGCCAGTGTGGCTCAATTGAGTGATCTCCTGTGCACTGAAAGGTTGCCAGTTGGAGTCCTAATCTGGGCACATACCTAGGTTGCAGTTCAATTCCTGGTTGGGATATGTGTGAGACAGCCAATCGGTGTTTCTCTCACACTATCCCTCTCTCTAAAGTCAATAAAAACATATATTTAAAAAATAACTACCAAAGTACTCACTTCTTAACAACTTAGATATTTCCAACTTCTGGCACAGCTCCTCAGCAAACTCAATATTTTTTGAAGGCCTGTGGTCCACATCTGTATTTCTTTCTTCTGTAGCTTATCCATCACATCATGGATTTTATTCTCTGTTGTTGAGGCAGAAATGTCCAAGAATCCAGAATCTTGAGAAAGGGAAATTACAACAGAGTTGCATGAGCCAAAGGCAAATCTTCCTCTGAAATAACTTTTACCCATTTAAACTTCAGTACTGTAGTCAGGGCAGCAAGATATTTGGATCCCAAAGGTTAATAGTTCATTTCAATAATTTTGCAAATCTATATACCGAAACTCAGCATCTTCCACAGGCCTAAGAGAACTTATGTTGTAACTATATAAATGATTCAGTCTAAAAGAACAGTAGTTGAATTATGTACACATTCATATGTGCACAAGCACATATACACATTTTTTGGGGGAAAAAAGAAAAACACACATGAACAGCGAATTTAAGAACTATTTTATCTAGATTTTCATTGAGTAGCAGGATGTTTCCAGATAGATCCTAAGTAAAATTTAGAGATTAGTTATGACTATTCCTTATTGTTAATTTTCTATGCAAGACAAAATAATATATAGACTTCAAAGACCACAATTCAGAATAAATATTAATCTCCTAATAACTTGAAGTGTATTAAATTTCATCTGCAAGATAATTTTCTATCCTTTGGTTCCTTCATGGTCCAATTAACTAAAAAGTCACACATGCAGTTTACAAAGTTGACAGAAAGGAGAACACTTAGATAAGAATAGCTTTGAACATTTTAGCCATTTCCTTCTAAATTACTCCAAGATAAATTAATGAATGATCTTTTAGGAAATTTTAAAATGCTAAATCATTAACTGATAACCAATTACTGTTTTCTATTTTGAAATGGTTCAAAACATGTTTGCCATCAAAGAGTTAGATCATTCAATCATGGTCCAGGAGTAAAATATGGCCTAACAAAGTTTTGTGGAGTTTTTTTTTTTTAATTCTTTATTGTTTAAAATATTAAATAAGTATCATTTCAAGCCCATTGACCTCTCTCTGGCTGCTCCTATCCCCAGTACATGCCCTTATCCCCTCCCCCCCCCAACTGTCTGTGTCCATGGGTTAGGCATATATGGATGTTACAAGTCCTTTGGTTGATCTCTTACTCTCCCCCTCCCCCCCAGCTACCACCTTTCCACTGAGGTTGGATGGTCTGTTTGCTGTTTCTATGTCTCTGAATCTATTTTTGTTCATCAGCTTATGTTTGTTATTACATTCCACAAATGAGTGAGATCTTGTGGTATTTACCTTTCTCTGACGGGCTTATTTTGCTTAGCATAATACTCTCCAGGTCCATCCATGCTGTTGCAAATGGTAAGAGTTCCTTCTTCTTTTACCACAGCATAGTATTCCATTGTGTAGATGTATCACTTTTTTTAATACACTCATCTACTGATGGGCACTTAGGCTGTTTCCAAATCTTAGCTATTGTAAATTGTGTTGCTATGAACACAGAGGTGCATATATCCTTTCTGATTGGTGTTTTTGTTTTCTTGATATATATTCCTGGATGTGGGATTACTGGGTCAAATGGAAGTTTCATTTTTATTAAAAAAAATCAAATATATATATATATATATATATATATATATATATATATATATTTTTTTTTTTTTTTACAGAAAAGAAGGGAAAGGGATAGAGAGTTAGAAACATTGATGAGAGAGAAACAACGATCAGCTGCCTCCTGCAAACCTCCTACTGGGGATGTGCCCACAACCAAAGTAATGCCCTTGACCTGAATTGAACCTTGGACCCTTCAATCCCCAGGCTGATGCTCTATACACTGAACCAATCGGGTCAGGGTGGAAGTTCCATTTTTAATTGTTTGAGGAAACACCATACTGTTTTCCACAGTAGCTGCACCAGTCTGCATTCCCAGCAGCAGTGCAGGAGTATTCCCTTTTCCCCCACATCCTCTCCAGCACTTGTCATTTGTTGATTTGTTGATGATAGCCATTCTGACAGCGTGAGATGGTACCTCATTGTTGTTTGGATTTGCATCCCATGGATAATTAGTGACTTTGAGCATGTTTTCATATGTTTCTTGGCCTTCTGTATGTCTTCTTTCAAAAAGTGTCTATTTAGGCCCTTTACCCATTTTTTGGTTGGGTTGTTTATCTCCCTTTTATTAAGTTGTATGAGTTCCCTACAAATTTTGGAGATGAAACCCTTATTGGAGATAACACTGGCAAATATATTCTCCCATGCAGTTGGCTCTCTTGTTGTTTTGTTGATCGTTTCTTTTGCTATACAGAAGCTGTTTATGTTTATGTAGTACCAAATGTTTATTTTCTCTTTAGTATCCATTGCCTTAGGAGGTGTATTGTTAAAGATATTGCTATGCCATATGTCTGCTATATTGCTGCCTATGGATTCTTCTAAGATTTTTTTAAATGATTTTCTGTCTTACATTTAAGTACTTCATACATTTTGAAATGATTTTGTGTATGGTATAAGGTGGTGGTATAGTTTCATTATTTTTTTTGCACGTGTCTGTCCAGATTTCCCAACACCACTTTTTGAAGAGACTGTCTTGACTCCATTGTATGCTCTTGCCTCCTCTGTCAAATACTAGTTGAGCATAATGGCTTAGTTTAATTTCTGGGTTCTCTGTTCTGTTCCATTGGTCTATATGTCTGTTCCTGTGCCAGTACCAGGGAATTTTGAGGACAGTGGCTTTGTAAAATTGCTTAATATCCAGTATTGTGATCCCTCCAACTTTGTTCTTCTTTCTCAAGATTGCTGCTGCTATTCAGGGTGTTTTTAAATTCCATATGAATTTTTGAAAAGTTTGTTCTAGGTCTGTGAAATATGCCACTGTTATTTTAATGGGGAGTGCATTGAATCTATAGATTGTTTTGGGTAGTTTTGACATTTGAATGATGTTGATTCTACTAATCAATGAACATGGTATATTCTTCCATTTGTTTATGACTTCCTCTATCTCTTTTTCTCAATGTCTTATAGTTTTTCGAGTATGGGTCTTTTACCTCCTTAGTTAAATTTATTCCTAGATATCTTAATTTTTTTTGTTGCAGTGGTAAATGGGATTTTTTTTAAGTTTTTCTTTCTGTGAGTTCACTATTGGTATATAAAAATGCCATAGATTTCTGGGTATTTGTATCCTTCTACATTACCCAATTCATTTATTGTCTAGTGGTTTTTTGATAGAGGCTTTAGGGTTTACTATATACAATATGTCATCTGCAAATAATGACAGTTTTACTTCTTTTCCAATTTGGATGCCTTTTATTTCTTCTTCTTGTCTGATCGCTATGCTATGCTACCCGTTCTATTTCAAACAGGAGTGGTGAAAGTGGACATGCCTGTCTTATTCTTGTTGTCAGAGGGAATAGTTTTAGTTTTTAACCTATTGAGTATGATGTTTGTTGTAGGTTTGTCATATAAGGCTTTTATTGTGTTAAGGTATGATCCATCTATTCCAAATTTGCTGAGAGTTTTTAATCAAGAAATGTTATTGGATTTTGTCAAATGCTTTTTCTGCATCAATTGATATGATTATGTTAATTTTGATCTCAACTTGTTTATGTGAAGTATAAGGTTTATTGATTTGTGGATATTGAACCAGTCTTGCATCCTCAAAATATATCCCACTTGGTCATGATGTAGGATCTTTCTAATGTAACGTTGGATTTAATTTGCTAGAATTTTTGCTGAGGATTTTAGCACCTATGTTAATCAGAGATATTGGCCTGTAATTCTCTTTCTTTGTAGTGTCTTTATCTGGTTTTGGGACTAGGGTAATGCTGGCTTCATAGAGTTTGGAAGTGTGCCTTCTTGAAATTTTTTTTTCTTCAGAGAGGAAGGGAGAGAGACAGAGAGTTAGAAACATCAATGAGAGAGAAACATCAATCAGCTGCCTCCTGCACACCTCTACTGGGGATGTGCCCGCAACCAAGATACATGCCCTTGACCGAAATCAAACCTGGGACCCTTCAGTCCGCAGGCCGACACTCTATTCACTGAGCCAAACCAGTTTCGGCCTTTCTTGAATTTTTTGGAAAAGTCTGTGGAGTGTAGGTTTTTAATTCTTTTTTGAATGTTAAAACTCCTTTGTGAAGTGGTCCAGCCGAGGGCTTCTTCTTCTTCTTCTTTTTTTTTTTTTTTTTTCTAGATTTTTAAAATTTTTATTACTGCTTCAATTTCCACCATAGTTATTTGCCTATTCAGATTTTTTATTCTTCCAGATGGAGTTTTGGAAGATTGAATATTTCCATTTCTTCTAGGTTGTCCAGTTTGTTGGAATAGAGTTGTTCATAGTATTTTTTTTTTTTTACATTTCTTAGTATTTCTGTGGAGTCTATTATTATTTCACCTCTTTAATTTCTGAGTTTGTTTATTTGGGCCCTCTCTTTGCTTCTGGTGATCCTAGCTAGAGGTTCATCAATATTGTTTATCCTTTTAAAGAACCAGCTCTTGGTTTTATTGATCTTTTGTTTTGTTTTGTTTTTGGTCTCTATGTCATTTATTTCTGTTTTTATCTTTATTATTCCTTCCTTCTGCTCACTCTGAGCTTTTCTTGTTGCTCTCTTTCTAGTTATTTAACTTGTAGAGTTAGATAATTTATTACCAGTTTTACTTTTATTTTTATTTTTTTTTAGGCCTGTAGAGCTATGAAATTCCCTGGCAGGAGTGCTTTCACTGTGACCATAGATTTTGGACTGTGTTGTTTCCATTGTTATTGTCTCCAGGATGTTTTTTATTTCTTTGTTGATCTCTTTGGCAACTTAATCATAATTTAATAACATGCTATATATCCTCCAAGTGTTTGAATTTTTTATTGTTTTTGTTGTTTATTTCTAATATTATGCTATTGTTATCTGAGAAGATGCTTGATATGATTTCAATATTCTTGAATTTTAAGAGAGTTTGTCTCTGTCCCAATATGTGTCTATCTTTGAAAATGTCCCATGTGGACTTGAGAAGAATGTACATTTTGTAGCTTTGGAGTGAAATATTCTGAAGATGTCAGTTAAGTCCATCAGATCCAGTGAGTAATTTAAGACTGCTGTTTCTTTCTTGATTTATTTCTCTAGAGAATTTATCCAATGATGTCAATGGAGTATT